CTCTCTCCCTTTTCTCCATCCTTTCCCCTGCCGGGGGCAGGGAGGACTTCACAGAGAACGTCTGCTGCCCACTTCAAGAGCTGGCCCAGCCTTCAACGGTGACAGTGCCTGTGTAAATTACCTTGTCAATCAATTTGTCTGTCTACAGCTATCAGTTCTGGAGAGCAATACTTACTTAATAACCTGCTTTACACCGATGCAACATCATTCTCTAAAGATTTCCAATAATTTTGAAATTGTGATTAATAATGCTGTGAGACACGTGAAGTGAAGTTTGTGTGAGATATCAAAAGGTTAAATTAGTTGCTTACTGAATGAGTGGTGGTCTCAATCTCCTGACTTAGCCCCAGAACAACCATTCCTTTGTAAATAAGTACTTTTGTCCAGAGATGCAAAAGCGAAGCCTCTGACATTTATTATTCTGATGTGTGTCTGTTCCCAGGACATTACATTTCTGTGGATACGTCTTATGAGGGTGAGAAAGCAGTGCTGACCAGCCCTGAGCTGTACTCTGAGGAGTGGAGCTGTGTCAGACTGATTTATCAGATAGCAACGACTTCAGAGACTTCACCTCATCCCGCCAGGCTCAACCTGTACCTGAGGCAGGAAGGAGAGAGCTTTGATCGTTTGCTGTGGTCAGCTAAGGAGCCTTCAGATAGCTGGCTCATAGCTAGCTTAGATTTGACGAACAGCACCAAGAAATACAAGGTAAGCCTGGTTTTAAAAGATTCCACAGGCTTTCTGGTACATGCGTTGGGGTGTACAGCCTGCTTTTCAAGCATTTCTGCTCTGGGCCCTGTTCTTGGCTTTCACCTCTCAGGCTGGCAGCACGTGAGTCAGTCTGTCCCTAAAATCAGTGAGCAGAGCTGGCTTGAGTCAGGCGGTGGGTGCTCATCCCAGCGAACGCCTGGCACGGCTCAGGGGACAGCAAGGCCGGCCGGGCCCTGCGCTGAGGGTCCCTCACCTCGCGGCAGCCCTGCGGAGCCGCTGGCGTCCTGTAGCAGGGACAGGACCTGCCAGGTCTTTGGTCTGCAGCGACGCTCACTCATTCCTCTTCTACAGGCCTTCCTGAGAGGAGAGTATTTCCGTCCAAACCCTGTCACATTGCATCTCTCCCAATAACATCCCGTATAGCCACAGCTGAGGAATCTGGAGTCCCATACTCTTACATGAAGTGTGGGAATTTTTGGCCTTGTCTCCTTGTCCTTAAGTGTGCCCTCTGCCCTCGAGGAAGGGCATTGACTCTATCTTTACTGCATTCTGCCAAGCTCTTCCAGCAAAAGCACCTCTCCTTACTGTAAGGATGATGAGCCCCCCACATACATTTAATCTGTTCTCCTGTTTATCCTGTTTAAATGTCCAGGGTGATAATGGAAATACTGAAACCCTAAAATGTACGATTTGGTTTATATTGTGCAGATTGTACTGGAAGGTGAAATGGGACAAGATAAATCTGCCAGTATAGCAGTTTTTGAAATTAAAATAACTCCTGGATATTGTATTGGTAAGTACTGTCTGCTCAGCTCCCATATTCTCTGCATAGGAAAGAATGCCTTGTTGGCAGTTTTAAAACTGAATTACAGGTTTGGGTTTAGAAAACAGACAATAGCTTTCTCCTTATTGAAAAGTAGGCTGCCATATTTGATACAGATATCTTTTAAGCTAAAGTTGCACACAGTAACACGTTTTTATTCACCCATGTCTGTGATATATATAGACATTTCACATACAGTAATTCATTCTAAAGCTATTTATTGTACAAGCAGGAACAAGTGGTGTATTTTCACAAAACTAGACTGCTGCAAGTATGAGACGTAACAGCTGCGACCTTATTTCTGCTGCCTGCCTGCTCATGCTTCCTTACAATGGCATCTTGCAGTCTGCAGAGTCAAAACTGTTGATATTTACACTTACTGCTATTTCCTCATGATATTTGCCAAAAACTGTTAACGAAGTTCAAAAATTTCAGTGGCTAAGAGGCCGGGAGACCTTTGCATTTCTGGGGAGCTCTGGGGGAGTCCAATCGAATTGGCACAATGCTTTGGCTTTGTGAATGAAACAAAGGAGTCTCATTACTGCTATGAAATACTAGTCCTGCTTTGCTTCTAGCCATCCCTGATTTACAAGTGGAAGTTCTGCTCTGACTATTTAATACTATGAAGTGATATATTTTAAATCTATCTTAATTGGTTCTAAATTACAGCAATCCTATATTGCCAAATAATGAAAAGATAGATTGGACCATACAGGATGGAAATAAAAATTTTATCAAAAATTGATCAAAAATTGTGGCTAAGTTTGTTTCCATTTATTATAAGCTTTGTCCAGTTTGATGAATATAGGTGTTACCTGCACTGCCATGTGTAACACGAGGTCAGTGCTTAGCAATAGCCTCTCTTCCAGTTTGTGTGATGAAAGTGTGTGCACTCAGCTGGTGATGTCTGCAATTACAGAATGTGACTTTGAAGAAAATCATCTTTGTGGCTTTGTGAACCGCTGGAACCCCAATGTCAACTGGTTTGTTGGTGGAGGGAACATTCGCAGTTCTCAGTCTATCCTGCCCAAAGACCACACACTTAACAGTGAACTAGGTAAGCCACAAATGTGGAACAGAAGTATAGTGAAAAATTTGAGTCTGTGATCCATGTGTGACTCTTACACTGCAAATTATTATGTGGCTTCTTTCTTTTCTCCTGGCATTGAGTGGGGTAAGAATGACTTATGTGAAAAAAAGATGGGGGGAATTTGCAGAGTTTCACACAAAGTTTCCTGTAAGCTTTATAATAAGGTTCTTATGCCCATTGCTTCAAAATTACTCACTATAAGGATAAAATTTTGGACAGAGAGGGGGGAAATTCACGTTTCTGTGAATTCTAAAAGTATGGGCCACAATAAGTTTTAAAATCTTGTACCACTGCTCTGTACATCTAGTAGGGATTTTCTTTCTAGTGGCTATTGGGAAAGTTGAGCAGAAAAGCTAAGGGACTGAAACATGGTTAAATTGCACAGGGTAGGAGTTTTGTTTCTTTCAGTCAAATGTGGTGCTGTTAATACAGTCCGTCAGGGGCAGAGTGCTGTAAAGACTTAAACCATTTTCAGCACTTGCCCTATAAGAAATACTTGTCCCAGATACCTTGTTGAGAGGAGAACACTTTTACACAGTCGTAGAGAAGGGTTGGGGGATATCTTAGCCTTTGGTGTAGTGTTGCATGAAGTACCGCAGCAGGTGACGGTCAGGAGATCTGGCTGGTGCAGCACACGGTGCATCTCAGACAACGTGACGCTTGTGACAGTGCAAGGAATCACATCATGAAAAACAGGGTTGATCCTCTTTCCTTAACTCATGCCGCTGTGCCTTTTTATTTATTTCACAATGGTGTGAGTTAAGTACAGAGTGTCAGTCTGGCCCTAAATCACCCCATGGCATCTAAATGCTGGTAAAATTTTGATGGAAGTTTAACTCGCCACAGTTTCAACAGCAGACAGTGGCTCTACCTATTAAATAAAGTACTGTATGTGATAGGAAATGCTGCCAACTGGGAGGGACCTGTTTTCTTGTAGCCACAGTGTTTATTTTTCACACCAAACCCTCACTGCTGACCATTGACTGAGAAGACCCCAAGAAGCCATCACAGAAGAGCCTTCTTTTTGCAAGAATTGTGCTATGAATCAGCCAGAGGGATCATAATTAAGCTATGAATGTGGTAAAACTGCAGAGCAAAAATGAAGCGCAGAACTTCTCAGGAAAGTACTGCTGAAGTGTCACCAGTCCCCTGGCAGTGGGGATGCTGGAGGGGACCCACAGCCAAGCAAGCCCTTTCCCCTCCTTACACTGGAGTGAAGCAAGAAGTGACATGTCAGGTCTGAGAACACTATTAGCTGATTAACATAGTGGTGTAGATACAAACCTAATGGTGCAGTTGCAGTGTCCATGCTGAAGTACCATATCAGTTTGACACTTCATTGTCCTCTAAGTTTTCTGCTTGTGAAGAACCATTTTTCCATTCATCAACTGGTACTGTTTGATGCTGTGTTTCTGGGAGCGTGGAAGAAGAACAACTACAGATGCACAGCATATCTGTGCGCATGGATGTGTCCTGTTTAAATCACAATAACTCTCCCAAAATCAAAGTCTGAGAAGCTGTACCCTTTGTACCCTGCCGATCATATTGGCTGTTGAGGTGGAGGGAATCTAGTCATCTGTAATGCATTTTTCCATTTATTAACATTGTCAAAAAGTCTTTTTAAAGGATTTTACAAAAAAATAGTCTATTCTGTAAAGAACCAAATTGTAGATAGACTGAGCAGAATTACACAAGCAGTGGAACGTGCAGAATAAAGGTTATTTGCGAATTCATTTGATATATTAAATGAACTGCTGAGTAAAACATGTGAGGAAACACATGGCTTATAGTCTTTTTCATTTATTTGGCTTGCCTCAGTAAAAGTTGCACTTGGAAAAAGACTAAATACGATACTGAGCTGTCAGGAGGCAGGGAATTTACTCAGTTGTAACACATTTTTCCATTTACCAATGGCTCCCAAAATTCAAAGAGTTTATTGCTTTGTTTAATATAAAGGTCTTGACTAAAGGCTTAAGAAAGAGCTGAGACTGACTGTTTTGCCAGTGCTTTCTTAGCCAAACAACTTTGGGTTGTACATAGGAAGAAAAGGGGTTGGGGGGGGAATCTCTTAGAATTACTAAAATTTCCTAGGAATCCACCATTGTTGTCCAGGTCGTAGAGATACATGTCTCGTCCCTGCCCAACTCCTGATACTTCTTGTAAGTGGTGTCCTTTAAAGAGTATTCTTATAACAAGTTTCTTTTATACTTTTAGGTCACTACATGTATGTGGACTCTGTTTACGTCAAACATTTTCAGGAAGTGGCCCAGCTAATCTCACCGAAGACAACAGCCCCAATGTCTGGCTGCTTATCTTTTTATTATCAACTTAAGCAGGAGAGTAGCATTGTTTTTACCGTTTACTTGAGAGACACGAGTGGCTTTTATGAAGAGATCTGGAAAACAGACAGTGCACTGAGTGCGGACTGGGTGCTAGCAGAAGTTGACTTTGATGCGCCTTACCCCATGGAGGTAAAGGAATCATTCCTGTACAGTCCAACTGTGATTTCCAGGTTGTGTCAGACATCAGTGCTGACTCAGGCCAAGTTGGGCACATGGCAGTGCCCATCCAGTATCTGAAAGTTGGTTATAAAGAAGCTGGTGATCTGTTGTTTCCTTTGTCCACTGTGTAAGGGTCAAGGAGGAATCACTTTCCATACTGGTGCTTGATTTTCAGCAAAGATGAAGTCAGGTGGTGGAGTGCTTGAACAGAATACCTTGGAAGGTTATAGAGTCCTACTAATGTTAGGTCTTTCAGTTCCTACTAAATAATGTCAATGTTCTCTCAGTCCTATATTTCTGTGACACAATGATCCATTTTTGAGGATGCTAAGTATCATAAAATTATGCATGCCTCCTACTGCAGAAGAAAAATTTTTAAAAATATTCAAGCTCTATTGTCTATCTTATACAATCCTGTGATTCAGTCTTTCTGTGCTTTCACAAGATAAAGTGCAAACTTGGGTCCTAATAGTACACTAGTCTTTAGATGTGAAAGACAGCTCTCCATGCTTACTGTAAATAATTTCAAGAGTATCAGAAAGAAAGTGAATTTTTTATTCCCTAGTGTAGAAAAAGGAATTTCCTACTAAAAAACCCCAAACCTTGGAAGATTGGAATAAACATTGTTTATATATATACGGATGTATGAAAAAATATATAAACACACACATATTCACAGATATATAAAAAAGTATGTGTGTATGTATATATGGTATATATAGATACGTATATACATTATATCTTTATGTAGAATATATATTCTTATATCTAATACATACATAAATATCAGAATTTTGTAATAAACCTTAT